GACAAAAGAGGCAGCATCAAAAGATAAAAGTCTTGTATGGCAGAAACAGAAGATTCTCCCAGAAGAGTCTGTGTACCTGAACATGTACCACTTGGAGAAGAATGGGAACAGGTGGCAGGAGAATACAGGGACCTCACCAAGGTCAAAATAAGCATGGGCAGAGACAGAAGAAATGTTGTGGCTTCTATCAACGAGAGCGATATCAACGAGATTGTTTACAAAAAAACTCAAAAGCAGGGGATCCTGTAATTTATACAGATGGTTCCGTGAAAAGAAAATAGCCAGCGAAGTGGATTGAGATTTGTTGCATTCGCCAATAATAAAATCATCCACAGTGCATCTGGGGCCTGCAGCAGAGCTACATCAAGTATGCGAATGGAAATTGAAGCCAACACGAAAGTACGCTCACATGGATTTTCTGCCCTGGCCATGCAGGCGTTAAAGGGAATGAAAAAAGCTGACAGACTGGATGGTGAGGCCACCTCAGTAGACAGTACGGTCCATCCAGACAAGGTCGAGATCCTGAAATGTTTCTCTCGCCACCTGGTTGAAGAGGAAAATAAGGAGGCAGATGCCAGTACTGCTGTGGAGAGGATGATGGTTTCGGGAGTACAGAAAGGAAGTGGAATCTGGCAGCCTTGCAGGAAAGAACAAAAGAACGTTCAACCAGATGTGCACTGTCACAATCAGTAGAAAGACCATCAGCAGCATTTTGGAGAGAGCAACAGAGCATCGATGGACTTGTCCGGAGTGCAAGGATGTTGCTTCCTGAAACAATGAACAATGTACATCTGACACCAGGCGACCCCCACCTCCTTCAATCGTAAATATCTCAACTTCTAATCAAGATAGATTTGTATTTTTTCATCAAAAGCATGGGAAATGAATAGGCTTTAAGATTATATACCAAAAACCCTATATGCCCAAAATTGACGAGCGCCCGATTCCACCGCGTCATGACACTTCTATTACTGTTGTCTTCTACCCGCTCTGTGTCAGCTCAGTTGTTGGTATAGGTTTTTATTGTCCTCAGAAACCAAGCTGAAGGATTTTTTCATCAGGGCCAGGACGCTGGAGCAAATGGCTGAGCTGGACAGAATCCGGAAATTATCTGAGGCCCGTCTTCACGACAGAAATATGTTACACAGGAGGAGAGAAGAGAGAATTAAGGTACATTTTTTTGTGAGCTGTTTTGTTTGCGGAATTTCTAGAAGCTGCAGATAAGCGGGACTTGTTTTAAAACACAATAAAGATGGGAATGCCACATAGTTTGTCGTTAAAGAAAAATCGTAAAACCGTTTGATCGATTTAACCGGAATTTGTACTTTTACTTTAAAAAAAATAAAAATGATCTACATTAAATGATCAACACAACATTATGTGCTGCATGACTGGAGAATCTCTCCAACTGAGACCCACAGGAGGATACCTTAGTGTGGCCCCAAACTGGTCTGTGTTTGAGAGTACTGTCCCTCCACCTTTCTCAAGCTTTTCACGATGTGCAAGCAAGCCATGTGCCTTTTGGTAGCATCACGATCAGATCAGTTGTACCTTACTTGATGCAGCCCAGGCACACCTAGACCACCTTCAGTGCAGCCCCCCCCCCCTCTTTTACCCCTGAGTAATGTAAGTTTGAGACTCAAGTCTTATAACAACATTGTCAGTTTGTTGTTGTTGTTGTAATCAGTGTCTTAAAAATGTTTTGTTTTTTTTTCATTTGTCATCACCCCAATCACTATTTGCCCCTTTGTTGAATTGTTATTTAATAGCAAGATGTTTTAACGAATTCATTGTTTTTTACCAGAAAAATTTCTCTCTCTGTTTCGGACATTTTACAAACTTTGAAAGTTGCGAATGAACTACTTTTGTTTGTTTTTTCTTTTAAGAGATAATAAATTAACAGAATTCATCGTATTACTAGATGATTCAACTGTAGACCTACGTGACAATAGATTTTGGATCCGTAAAATATGCACTATTGTTGTATTGTTATTTTTCTCAGGGTACTTATTAATTCACACAGCACTTTTTAATTTTTTCTCTCCCTTTTTTCTCTTCCTTTATGTATCTAGAAAGAGGAGATATCTAGAGACAGAATCCAACAAAGCAGTGCAAGAAGTGTCGCTGTCTATGAAGATGCAGAGGAAAACAGGAAAATTGGAGATGCTTACAGTATTGAGGAGATGATCCGCGATATTGAGGCATTCGAGAAAAAGAAGGAAGCTTCCAGAAATGAATCAACGACGACAAAATTGACTGTGCTCAATGAGAAACCTGAATATCTGTAACGTAGATTTCTGGTATTTATAAGTTCATACTTTCGCCCTTTTACTTCCACTGAACCTGCTCTGTTTTATGAGGAGACCGAAACATTCTCAGGCCAGGTAGTTGATTGGTTCAGTCTGATACAAGCTATTCTTGACTGGCAAATTCTTATTTAATATGTAGGTAAATATTTAGCAAGATAAGCCTCAATTTATTTAGTCGTCAATTTTGCATTTGTTTACATAATGGTGTGAGATATAACTGAGAGAACAAGAAAGACCCAATGGAAGTTGGAAGTCTGATATTGACCTATATACGATTCGAACGTTATTTTCCCCTAAAGGAAAATGTAGCAACCAATGTCCCATACACTTTCTTTTTCTTCAAGTGCCAAATATGAAACAGCTGCCTTCGATCATGGCTTGCCGCTCATTTCTCTGCTATAATACTCTCAAAGAACTTAGATCTGTTCCTCGTCACTCATTTGTTCAGATTCTTAAAGTGGTTAAAGTATGTTATTATTAATATACCTCTACCTCTTTTGCCGACCATTTATCCAGTGAGAGGGATATGTGAGGCATCATGAGGAAATCAGGCGCTCTTCAAAATAATGAAACCAAAGAAATGGGCATTTTTCCATGGTTTGGTTTAATCAAATTTTAGTTTTTTGGCTCAACATCTTTTTTGTCCATTAAAAAACAAATTTCTATGTGAATTTACTTAAAAACGTTGATTAAAGATACAGAAAATATACAATTTAAGTTACCACGCGCTCTCAAGCAATGGAAGTCACCTTCCTTTGGCTGCCATTTTCCCGCTAATTTAAATTTTACCTCTGAAACCAGGCGACCCCATGTCCTTCAATCGCAAATATCTTGATTTTTATTCAAGCGATTTAAGCATTTTTTTCATCAAATGATAGACAAATGGACAAACTTTAAAACTATACCAAGAACTCCACGTGCCTGAAAAATGACGAGTGCCTGATTCCAACTCGTCATAACACATATTATGTTCTCTGTTAAATGTAAAAGAGTAAAAGAGATGAAGTGCAAAATGATCAGAATTACTTGAAGATGACCCAACAGCCAAAATGCCTCCATTGTTTTTCAGAACCATGTGAAGGGTTTTCTAATGCTACGACATATTACATTTACATTCACATTATTGAGACAAATGAATGTGCTGAATTATGTTCCGTGTTCCTTGTGAGTTTGTTTGTGTGTGTGAGCTGTCAACTTGTGTGTGTGTGTGTGTGTGTGTGTGTGTGTGTGTGTGTGTGTGTGTGTGTGTGTGTGTGTGTGTGGTGTGTGTGTGTGTGTGTGTGTGTGTGTGGTGTGTGTGTGTGTGTGTGTGTGTGTGTGTGTGTGTGTGTGTGTGTGTGTGTGTGTGTGTGTGTGTGAAATATTCTTTAGATGCTTTGGAAGGCGTGTGAATTTTTTTAACACCAGCTTACTGGGAAAATATACTTTACTGTTATGCTGTTGTATTTGTTCATGAATGGGGAATAAACTTTGCCAGAAGTTTATTTGAAGTGCATGAACGGTATTGTGTTGTTTTAAATACTATCGTTGTGAAGCATAGGCCTACATTCCGTTGATTACTACCAGTATTCATTATTATAAAACTGTTGTGAATTAAATATGCAAGTTTTGATAGGCCTACTCATTGAGTTTTCCTTGAGATGATGATACGTTTTGTTCTTTGCTAGGTTAACAGAGATATAGTCGGTCGCCTGATAAAACCGTGAATTCCACAAATTTTCGAAAATCGTTTTTTTTGCATATTTTGATAGTGCTTGGTGAGATACATGCAACCTTCTCGTTCCTAGGTTGTCGTCAGTGCATCTGTTATTGGGGTTCACTTAATTTCATGCATGTTTGCAATAAAATGGAAGCTACTGCATACATAGTTGTCTTGTTACTTGACATAGAGAGAAAGAAATTTCTTCTTTATTTTCCTTTTCTATATTTTTATATCTTGGTATAATTGATTGTTGGATAGTGTGTCTTTGTATCCAGATGACTGGATGACTGAGTTGAAAGTGTAAATAGTAATAAATTGTTTGTTTTTTTGTGTAGGCCTACTGATACCATTTTAGAAAAATCTGACCTTTTTCATTTTCTTTTTTGAATTCTTCTTCTTCTTCCTCCTCCTCCTCCTCCTCCTCCTCCTCCTCCTCCTCCTCCTCCTCCTCCTGCTCCTTCTCCTTCTCCTTCTCCTTCTCCTTCTCCTTCTCCTTCTCCTTCTCCTTCTCCTTCTCCTTCTCCTTCTCCTTCTTCTTCTTCTTCTTCTTCTTCTTCTTCTTCTTCTTCTTCTTCTTCTTCTTCTTCTTCTTCTTCTTCTTCTTCTTCTATCCTGTGGTTGGGGCAACGGTGGGGGTACCCCTGCATCTGACAACCAGCTCTCACAATTTCTCTCTGTCCTCTGCTGTCCTCAGATTGTCACCCATCGTCTTTCCTGTCCACTCTGTGCTGTCGTCCTCCCATTTCCTTCTCTGCCTTCCTCTCTTTCTCATTCCTTGTATGGTTCCTTATAGGATTGTTTTGGCAAGTCCTGTGGATCTTGTAACAAGCACATATCATTTTGATTTTCGTCTCTTCACAGTGGTCAGAAGATCTTCTTGCTGCCCCACTGCGTTTGTGATTCTGTTCCGTACCTCAGCATTTGAAATTAATGTGGTCTTTGTACGAGATGTCAAGGAGTTTGCGGTAACCTCTCATCTCTGTTGTCTGAATCCTTTTCTCCATTTCTGCTGTCAATGTCCACGACTCACAGGCGTATGAAATATTGAGATGACCTTTGAGCTCGTCAGTCTAATCTTCGAGTTGAGCTTCATGTTTCTGTCCTTCCAACATTCATCCATAGCTAAATTGATATAGATCTAATGCTGGACTGTGATCTGGATGGTTCTTGTTTGAATTCGTTTTCGGGCATTTTCTAGAACTTGAGCTTTTTGGAAAGTTTTCGTAGCTTCCACACCAGTGTCTTCACTGTTGCACGCAGAAGACCTGAGTGTGGATTCCTTTGTGTGGAAAATTTTTAGGGATTCAGTCATGGTCATTTTGGTTGTATGTTCTAATCTATCAGTCTCCAAGAATAGGTAGGTCCTAACAGGCAGGGTCGAAGCTTGCCTCCTATTTTATGGTCTTAGTTGTGTCAATGGGGGCTCAATTAAAAGAACTGGCTTTCCACCTAGAAGATTATTCTACAGTACTTGCACTCCATGGTGCCAACCTGGCGTGGCTCTATCAGAGGTGGATGTTGTGTGTTCGGAGGTTTACCATTTGAAATAATCCTATAGGCCTAACGTTTAAACTTAGATCATGCCTATCTGTGCATGTGTATGTGTGTGTGTGTGTTTGTGTTTGTGTGTCTGTGTGTGTGTTTGTGTTTGTGTGCACGTTTGTGTGTGTATGTGTGTGTGTTTGTGTTTGTGTGCACGTTTGTGTGTGTGTGTGTGTGTGTGTGTGTGTGTGTGTGTGTGTGTGTGTGTGTGTGTGTTTGTGCTTACGTGGTGAAACACCAAACCAAAGTGCCGGGATTTGGACAAAAAAAGATGCATCTGATTCTCACGATGTGATGGGTCAGTTTCTATGTCGTGAGGCAGAAAATTAGGTCACGATTATGCATGTACTGTCTCCCGTGTAAAGAAAGCAAGTCAAGAAAAAATCTGACGTGACCTTATCACATTTTCGCCATCTCCCCACACAGCCTACTACGTATCGCCGGAAAGCTATTCAACTTCTTAGCCCAGGGGAAAAAAATTGCAAGAGAGAAAAAAAATAAACAAACCCAACAACATTTAATTCATTGTTTTAGCATTTGTAGACCTACATTATGTAACTTTTTGGGGGTTTTTTTTTTTCAACGTTTAAAGTTTGGACTACGGCCAAAAATATTCTTGAGCACAACATGGTAAAGGATACCACAGATGGGGATACTGCAATAAAACAATAACAATAATATTATCATGCCGTGAAAAGTCCTTAAACTTAAACATGATTAACGTTCGCGCGGAAGGAGAACAATGAAAGATTTCTATTGGGTGTACCTTAATTAATCCTCTCGCGGCGTACGGACAGATTCGCACGCAGACAGCGAGACAAACAGTCAAAGTCAAGTAAACAAAAATGCCTTCTCAGACGTTCACTCTTCTCACCCATAGTGAGTGGGTAGTTGGCGGGTGCACTTGTGTGGTTTGCTCCTTCTTCCCTATCAAACGTCATTCGTTCTGATCTCTCCTCCTTCTTTTTTGTGTTTATCACTCTCTTGTATCACCTCTAATCTTCGGCATTTGTTTGAGCCTATTGTGTTGCAACTCTCGTAAAACTCAAATAAAAACATCAGTCAGAAGTAAAAGACCTAGGCTTATGATCTGTAACAAAGAAAGATACAGAAGGTCATTTTTACCATCATCTATCAAAATGCTTCCATCTTAACCATCTTGTATATAAGTATACTTACGACCTTAGAGCATGCATCAAAATAACATTGAGTGTGTATCTAGCTTACGATTACTATTGTTTATATTGCTGCTCATTTATATTATGCATGTGACTGTAAGCCTACTTGTGTGTGCATGTGTGTGCACATGTGTGTGCGTGTGTGTGTGTTTGTGTGTATGTGTGTGTGTGTATGTGTGTGTGTGTGTGTGTGTGTGTGTGTGTGTGTGTGTGTGTGTGTGTGTGTGTGTGTGTGTGTACACGTGGTGGAACACCAAACCAATATGCCAGGATCTGGACAATAAAGATGTATCTTATCTTATCTTATCTAAAACAAAACACATAGTGATCGTAGAGCTCTGGTAGGCTTCAAAATTAAGGTTAAAACAGCACCTAGACGTGGATGGCTGGTGCCTCAATAGATAAATACTAATTACACGTATCAATGAAGTACCGTCCGTAAATTGGGGTGACTCAGGCACCCCGGGGTGACTAAGGCAGGAAACTGGGAAAATGTACTGATAATTTTAAGATATTTTTTCGATATCGAAAGTGATTTTTCAGTCATTTTGAATGCATAATTTATCTAAAAGTAATTAATTTAGGGTGTATTCACACGAAAATAGCATACGGGCAACTTTTTTTGGGAGGTCCCGAGGCTTCATTTGAAATCGACCTCTAATTTGACTAGTGAGGACAGCTGTAACAGAAGTTGGAGAGAAGAATGCCACCAATGAACCACTTGTGTTGAGAGAAAAAGTAACCTTTCCTCCCCGTCTTGTCAAATTAAGCTTTCTGGAGCTTTTCTTGAAAGCCCTGGACTTTGGAAAAGCGGGAGGGGGTGTTTCAAGTGTATATTTATGTTTAGTTTTTCCAGTTGCGAGAAAATGAAAGGCTGGTGTTTTCGATACCCGCCAAATTGGAAAGCTAATCACAAGACTTGATGAGTGACATGAACATAGAGAAAGGAGCTTGGGAATCGTGTGTGCCTTTGTGTCTTTTGTTTTGGGCGACAAAGAAGCAACAAAATCCAAGAGTATTGTCAAAACAAAACTTCGTAAGAAAACTTCCAGCTTTTGGGGGCTGCGACAAAAGCATCAAGGTTCATTAAAAAAAAACCAGACCCTCCCCCCCAAAACAAAAACAAAACAACAACAAACAAACAAAAAAACCCAAAAAACAAAACAGAAACAAAAATAAAAATAATAAAAACCAATAGTCATTTAGATGATTTTCCTCCAAACTTAAGTGATGTCTATAAAAAGCAAGGTGAAAGATTTCATACAGAAGAGAGTCGACAGGGCCCACGGAGCACCAACACGAAGGTAGATCACTGTTGAAACATTCAAAGAATCTGTCCCGACACAATGCACTCCAGACAATCCCGCAAAAGAAAGTTTCTGTCATGAATATTCTGTTGCCTCCAAATTAAGTACATGTACTATTTCTAAATGCTGAACCCATTGCTATTGTGAAATTGAGAATTGACATGATTTATACAAATGTGAGGCAGCGTGGTAGAATCAGGCTCTCGTCAATTTTGGAGCATGTAAAGTTATTGGTATCATCCTAAAGCTTGTTTAATTGTCTTTATTTGGATACAAAAATTATCCATTTATCTTGAATACAAGTCGAGATATTTGCAAAAGAAGGAGGTGGGGGTCACCTGTTTTCAGAGGTAAAATTAGTGAGAAAAATGTCCGCTAAAGATTAGTTATTTATAGTCCGTGGTAACTGAAGATTTACATTTTTTTATGCCTTTAATCGAAGCTTTTCAGAAAAATCCACACAGAAATGAGTTCTTTAATGGGCATTAAAGGTGTGCCAAAAAACAAAAATTTGATAAAAATTCACAAACCAGCGGAAAAATGCAAGTTTCTTCACTTTGATTATTTTGACGAGAGCCTGATTCCACCACGCTGCCTCACAAATTTTGAAAAATTGATGTGTCACTTTTCATTTTTCTTTTCATTGCTCTGAACATGATTGGCATTTGTTATTACGTACATATTACTAATTCAATTGGAAATTGCAGAAGCAGTGGTTGTGCCATAGAGCAAAACCTTGACATGATAGAGTAAAACTGATGCAACTTTTGGTTTCTTTCAGCGACCTGGAATTACTATCAATCAAGCCTCAAACTCCATGCCACAAAAGTTATAATTATTTGCTCTTCATCTTCAGGTAAAAAGTTATTTTTCCTCCTTTTTCCAAAATGTTTTCAGAAATACTGCTCGGTATTTCGAACTCATTTTCAGATACACAAATATATTCACGCTGGAGTTTATAGTTTCTGTTAAAAATGCTGAAGACCAAATGACACTATAGAGATTTCGATAGACACCATCAATACGGAAATCTTGGTCAAACACCATGTAGAAAAACAATAGCGTGGGAGGTACGGCGCAGACGATGAAAATGACAGCGATGAAGGTCACCATTTTCACAACCTTTTTATCTCTGACCCCAACTCCTTCCGCTGCTCGATCAGACTTGGCTGCAGTGGCCTCTCGCCATTTTGTTTTACTGTTGAGTTTGACGACAAGAACGATGGTACAGCAAATGACGAAGACGAAGGAAAACGTCGTTGTAAATACACCTTGGGTGAGAAATGTAATGGCTTCTAACATGTCTCTTTCTGCCGTGAACGTGGATTTTAGGATAGTAACATTCCTTGTGAAATCGAAAACCAACTCAATACTGTTTCCAAGGCAGAAGGGGATCATCAAAACAGCCATGGCAATGTAGATGGAGATAATAATTATCTTTGTCCTTCCCGGAGTGATGATCGTCTTCACCTTCAGAGGGACAGCGATACACAGACATCGCTCGAAGGTGATGAAAGCAGTGATAAAAGTGGCAATTTTGACAAAGAGGAAATGGGGCGTGACCCCCGTGAGGTACATGATATCCCTTGGGTCAAAGGGCAACTCAGAGAGGTAGAAGAGCGGGGTCACGCAGATACATATCCATATCATGGTCAGCAGGGAGCACAGGTCAGAAACAGCAAGCCCTGGAATGATATACATTTTACAAGGTGAAATATACAATACACAATACTTATGTGTCACCCCCACCCCCCCCCCCCCCTCTTGCAGGTTTGGTGACATGACTGTAGAAATACTCTGACATGAAAAGAGTTCAACCAAGACAAAGTGAACATTCATTTATTTTCTTCAGTAAATCAACGTCATCATCATCATCATCATGAAGTGGTAGATCTGTAACAAACATCGGCTATCATGTATTTAAAAAAATCAGTTTCTTTGCTCGGATGCTCTTCAAAATGCTTCATTATCCTGATCTTTCCACGTCATCCATCTGTTTAAGTTTAAGCTCTCTAAGCTGGTTGCTCTGGAAAGAAAACAGAATGCATGGTGAAAAAAAAGCAGTAAATCCTATTTGCAATCTCATAAGCAAAGGCGGAACCCGATCAAACAAGTTCAACAGCATAAATATCTAGAATATATAATTACATATTATGATATCATATCATATCATATATATAATTACATATTATGATATCATATCATATCATATATATAATTACATATTATGATATCATATCATATCATATATATAATTACATATTATGATATCATATCATATATATAATTACATATTATGATATCATATCATATATATAATTACATATTATGATATCATATCATATATATAATTACATATTATGATATCATATCATATATATAATTACATATTATGATATCATATGTTGCACTGCCTCTTTTGAACTGTTTTGCCTATGAGATCCTGATGTTCAAGGCGTTTATGTTTATTCAAGTGACCCAGAAACTGTATTTGTCCTTTTTGGATTGTTTTTTAATCAGCGAGCGCCCCACATGGGCTTCTTCAAGAACTGCCTTATTTGATTCTTTTTCGTTTCAAGGAATTCTCAGCAGTGTCCTAAGAAAACACATTTCTGTTGCTTCTATTTAATTTTTACTCTCTTTAGTGATTGTCTAGCACTCAAAACCAAACGGAAGGGTTGACCATACGTAGCATTTCAGAACTTTCGTTTTAGTAGTCATTGAGATGTTTTTTATTTTCCAGGATTGAGCACATTTTACTGAAACTATCTTTAGCTTTTGTTACTTTCCGTTTTATTTCCGTGCAACATATGATATCATAATGTGTAATTATATATTCTAGATATTTATGCTGTTGAACTTGTTTGATCGGGTTCCGCCTTTGCTTATGAGATTGCAAATAGGATTCACTGCTTTTTTTTTTCACCATGCATTCTGTTTTCTTCCACTCCACAGTAAGCCTTTACGTTCACTTTCCATTACAACAGCATCAAAAAACGTTTGTAATTTTTTTTCTTAAACTGTTAAACTTTACCATCGCATATTACTTTATGCTATTAATATTTTAGCCAACCACTTTGAGACCTGGACATTCTACTATGTTTCTAAGGATTGCTTCACTGAATAATATCGTAAAAAGGTCTGGTGACATAGCACATCCTTGACTCACTCATCTTGTAATCTGCTTATACTCACTGTACGCTCCCCCAATTAGTACAACAACCTTTTGGTCCAAGTACAAATTTCTTATAATTCTTAGATATTTTCATCTGTGTCTCGCTCTTCCTTTATTTTGAATAAACCATCATGTCTAACCTTATCCAAAGCCGTTGACTAATCTGTGAAACGTAAATACAGATCTTTGCGTGATTCAATACATCTTTTCATTAACTAAGGTGAATATATAGCATTTCTGGTGCCCTTGTCAGGATCAAAACCGAATTGCGTTCTAGATATCTCTGGTCTTTGACTTTGTCCCCATTTTCCCCATTAGTACTCGCAGCAAGATTTTTGTAAAATGAATGAACAGGCTTATTGTTCTATGCACACCACGCCCGGTGGCACATGATGCTTTAGGTAACGCTATAAAAAGTGACACCCGTGTGCTTCCCGGGGCCCTGTCCAAGGGACAGGGGAGCAAAGACTATCACCACTGTATCCCTACCGTGCATGTTGTAGAAGTAGAAGGCGACTAAGGTCGGTTGGGCAAAGAGTTTTTTGCAACCCTTTCACGTAAAACAAAACAAAACAAAAGAAAAACAGCTACAAAAACATACACAGCAAAAACAATACGGCCGCCTCTTTTGGAATATAGAGGACCTTCATCACCGAAAAGAGGAGAGAAAATGGAGTGTAGAATGACGCAGGGTGGTGAAAGCCGAAAGGAAGCCACCAAGCCGAGAAACCTCCTGTCGACCAGAAGAACCACCAGACTTGGCACCTGGAATGTTCGTACATTTACGAGACAGGGAAGGCACTGCAGGTGGCAAAAGAGATGGAGGCCTACCAACTGGACATATTGGGTCTTTGTGAGACGAGATGGACGAATGCTGGGGAGTGCCAACTTGCTTCAAGGGAAGCAATTCTCTACTCTGGACATCCAGAGGAAAACTTGCCACATACAGAAGGAGTAGGTATTCTGTTATCAAGACAGGCCAAGCGGGCTTTGATAAGATAGAAAGCAGAGGGTCCGCGACTAATATCAGCCGAATTCCGTTCACAGAAGAAAGACATCAACCTTCATGTTATCCAGGGATATACCCCCCCCAAACCAATGATAAGGACTAGGATGTGAAAGAGAATTTCTACAAAAGGCTACAAAATATTATTGATCAGGTTAGAAGGAAGGACTTCTTGATTTTAATGGGAGACCTCAACGCTAAGGTAGACAGTGACAATGTGGGCTTGGAGGAAATCATGGGGAAACGCGGACTTAGAGTCAGAAACGAGAACGGAGAACTATTTTTGTAAATATGTACAACAAATGGGCTAATGATAGAAGGAACTGTTTTCCCACATAAACAGATACACAAAGCAGCTTGGTTGTCTCCAAACCAACAAACTGAAAACTAGATTGACCACATATGTGTCAACAAGAAATACAGGAGATCAATATGGGATGTTAGAGTTTACAGGGGCGTAGACGTAGCGTCTGATCATCATCTGCTCATTTCAACAATCCGACTAAAACTAAAGCAAAGACAGGGGGTGGTCAATCATAGGTGCCGGAACAACGTGGGATTTCCGAGAGAGCCATCGCCAAGAAAGGAGTTTAATGTCGTAGTTAAGAACACGTTCCAAGTGTTGGAAACACTAGGCGAGGATAGCAGCGTGGAAGAAACATGGGAGGCAATAAAAGAGGGTTGGACCACTGTGTGTCAAGAGGTACTGGGAAACGGAAACCTGAGCACAATCCGCGGATATCTGCCACCACTCTGAGGAAGATAGAGGGCAGGAAAAGGAAAAAGGATCAGGTAAACAGGAGCAAGACAAGAGCAGCCAAAGCAAAGGCCCAAGAAGAATAAACCAAAGCTATGAAGGATGTACAAGTCAACATACGGAAAGACAAAAGAAACTATGTAAATGACCTGGCGCGCGAAGCAGAGGAAGTAGCAGGGGCAGGACACAAGAGAGGACGGTATGAAACCACCAAGAAACTTGCAGGCAGATACAAGAACGCATATATGCCAGTTAAGGATAAAGAAGGAAAGCTTCTTACAAATCCAGACGAACAGAAAGAACGCTGGAAGGAGCATTTCAAAGAGCTACTGAACAGACCAAGGCAAGAAAAACAGTTTGACATTCCACCAGCAGAGATTCTGGAGGAGAGTGAAGAAAAGTCTAGTTTAGAGGAGATCAAGGAGGCGATAAGACATCAGAAAGCAGGCAAGGTGGTCGGCCCTGATGGAATTCCCCCAGAAATTCTTGGCGAGGGATGTGCCATAAATCCTACTAAAGCCCCGGCTGCTTTGTTTGTTGTCTACGTATGGCAAAGTCTGGATGAGAAATCTACGCTAACTGGCAGTAGTATTGTGTCCTTATTCCCAATCAGCCCGTATCTGGGTGGTGGATAGGGGTAAGGCCTCCAGGTATGAAGGTAAGCTGGTAAACCGTCGCGAACCAACTGGGAGATGGTCGTGGAGAGTAAAGGGACCAAACACTAGTTCAGTAAATACGGTCTTCTATCTTTACCGCTTTGGGGTTATTGATTTCCTAACTTGTTGTAGCCACTGCTTTTTTTGCTTTCATTTGTTGATGTTTTTTTTTTAAAGCACAAGAGTCTGGAGTCAAATTACACGCGTTGTAAGTGTGCTGGGTGCTATATTTCATCTTGGTTTCTTTTTTTTTTTATCTACCTGACGTATGTAGTGAAAAATGAAAGTAACATGGTGTATGTTTAAAGGACGGAGCCAAATGGGAAATTAGTGTCAAGTGCCTTTATAAAGGAGACAATGTCGGCCCAAGTTGAGTCTCTAACCTTTAAAGGCGACAATGTCGGCCCAAGTTGAGGCTCTAACCCCCGAACCCGCAGTCTCTTTTAAAGTGCTGTGGTCTATTTGGTTGTTTTTGGTTGTGGCAGGGGGTTAGGCCTAGTCTATTGTATTGTTTGGCTGAAAGTGTGAGAGTGAGTAAAGTGTGAGTCTCAGTTCAGTTGTATTGTTTGCAAGTTTATAAAAGCAGTCTGGGTTACTACAGGTGAGACTTTAGAAGGGAGAGCTGTAGCAAGGCAGAGGAGGCGTGCTGAGAGTATAGGTGGAGAAAAGGCTAGTTAGAGCCTCGGTTTATTTGTGTGTAACGTGTGAGATTCCAACGCATCGGGGCTCCAAAGCTGAGGAAGGATCACAACACAGAGAGAAACAGGTTTGGCTAACTCCTGTTGTAGACGCAAGCAGACAGAAGGTTAGTTGTGTTAAACATTGTTTTATGTTCCAAGTAACAACACTTAACAAGACCCTAATGTACTTGTCACTGTACTATCTGCCTACTAAGGTCCTCTCCTAACTTGTCTTCGCCCGATAGAATAGGCTAACACTAACAACGTTATCTCAGCAGATACTGTGCCCACCGCTTCAGAGATTCAGGGTGACATTAAAGATGGTTCCAGTGGGTAATGAGATAGAGGGTGCCCGCGTCCCTCCTGACTCATTGGAACAAACGGAGATAAGATTTGCGCTAACATTACATAAACGCAATCCAACATCTTCACTCACTAGCACCATTATTACTCAAATCATCATTGCTCTCAGGTCCTTGACTTATATGAAGATATATTCCTTGAGTCTCTATCTGTAACAGTTACACGTTATACTAAGTGTGTACTAAATATACAATTGGACACCACCATACACACTTTTTTCTACTATTCAGATGACGTCAATCGCATATAAATGGGACACCCCCCCCAAAAAAAAAAGAAAAAAAGAAAAAAAGAAAAAAGAAAAGAAGACAACCACCATCTCACCCATGAGGCTGATGTTCATGCTGTCCTGAAAGCCTTGCTTGGCAAACACGACAATGTTGATGATGTTGGAGGCCACGCCGAACAGACTGAGGAGACCAGAGATGGCCACCCCGTTGACCACTTGGACAATGTACCACTGCTCGTCGCTTACGATATTTGCATAATATGAACCAGAAGGTGATGGTGTTGAAATTGGTATGATCAGGTTTTCATCGCGAGAGTAAGTTGAGTTGTTTCCCCACAAATGTGAAATCGACATTGTGGGAGGGAGAGACGTGTGGGACATCGACACCACAGTTACTTTAGAGCTAGGCTCCTCCCTTATTAATTCAGGTACAGACCTTGATTTATACACGCAGTACAAAGGAAGCCAAGGCTCAACAAAAAATGATCATTTAACAACGTTCTTTCTTTGTGCACCTGTAAAGCACTAAAACATTATAACATGCATTAAGAAAAAAAAAGTGATGATTATATCATTTAAATTGTATAACGAGTAGATCTATGTATTAATTAGTTATAAGAACTACGTTATATAATTATATTCAATGAGACTGTCCATTGATCCCCATTAGTTTAGTTGCGTTTGTTCAATTATCCTGAGCATCAAACCTTATAGTCCATTATAACCATTATTCTAATTAGTTGAGTAAAGATTCAGCGCATTATCATGAAAATGTCACAGACATCGTAGTGACAATATCGACTCTCAGTCACAAGGGATAATTTGTGCCTTTATTTGTCGGATTCAAAATAAAAGTTTTTATTTCCTCTGACTCTGTCCCCGTGTGCTAATTACCACAGCTGTTTTTCTTCTTCTAATGGAGCTTATCGCAGTTTGACTGTCTGGAACTTGCAGATGGATACGCTTTTTTGTTGTTGTCAATAAATTGTAATTCAACCCACAGTGGTAATGAGAAACATAGTGCCCGTTTGATCATCGATTTGAGCTGCTCATTTTGTTATTACAATTATTTCGGGCATTTAATCAAAGACTCATTAATTATAGACCAAAGTTTCAAACATCGGTTGCTCTATTTATGCGAAACCTGATGAGAGGACCTAGGTGCATATTATGTCAAGACGCTAAACCTGTGGGTTAAACAGAACAGAAGTTGCAAAATTCCATCAGCAAATTTTGGTAAACTGTTCTAGTCTAAACACCCGTAAATTTTATAGGAACAATCTGTATAGGCTTTATACAGGAGTTCTGAAGTCAACTAAAATATCTGGTCCATTTTTTCCTCAGCGCCACTGGGATGGGTGTGTGTGGCCTTTGTTTGGTTTGGGTATTGGAATGACAGTAGCGAGACGCCAAGACTCCGGAAAGGAGTGCGAGCGCCACATGTCGTTGTATATATGTCTAGTAAGAGTATAAGAGTTTCTGTGGGTAAATGTCTAATGATCTGGTTGTGGATGTCTTCTGGACCCGGGGCTGTATTGCCCAGATCTGAGATGCACGAGATTAGTTCGTCTAAAGTGAAGTCTGCGTTTTAGGTTTCAGTGTTGTTTGAGTGGAAGTTCAGGTGTTGTTGTTAGTTTTGATGTTTTGGAAGATGGTGTTTTAGATTGCTTTGGATGAGTTTTTGAAGAGAGATATAGCTACTGTGTTTGCGATGCCTACCTGTTTTTCAGTTGTGGTTCCGTCGGGCCTCTGAAATTGCCGGATGGTGTCTGTGCGTCTACCCAATTTTTTAATTTATTTTTTTAAAGCAATTTTAAAAACTTGGTTGAGTGGTGTCTGATTGTTGATGTTTGAGATATATTTTCTGAACGATTGTCTTTTGCTCTCCCTGAGGGCATCTACGTGTCTTAGCTCGAGATTTTAAGTAATTTATTTTGTTTTCTTTGGTGGTGTTGTCGATGGCTCTCCGATACATTGCCTTCTTTTTCTGTAGTGCATCATCATACTCCCCAGAGAACCAGATCTTGTTCTTCTGGGGTTTTGGAGATGTTCTTGATATGTATTTGTGACACATTTCTGGAAGTGTTTCATAGAATTTGTTGTAGTTGAGGTCGAAAGTGGGATTCAGAACCTGGGAACATTCAATGGCTTTTTAAAAATTGAAGCGTTCTGGGATCAGGTCGTTTTGGAGGCTATTGTTTTTTAAAAGTTTTGAGAAATGGTCCATGCAGTCATCCAGCACCAGACCACTCGAGACCAGGGACTAGGTCAGTGGTACAAAGGTGAGGTCAAGGGATGAAGTGCCAAAAGTGGATCTGTTTCTGTAAGCTGGGGACCTATCATTTAAGAGGTAGATGCTATTTTGAAATAAAAAGTCTTCTATTATTTTTTCCTTTTAGGTCTGTGGGTTTGTCTCCCCAAAGGGGGCTATGAGTATTACAATCACCTAGCAAAATACAGGGTTTTATGGGAGCTGGAGCTTTAAATCATTTGGTTGAGTTATTTTTAGGGGGTAATTTGGTGAGATATAAACTGAGCAGATCATGATTGGTCTGTGCAGGGTGACCCGTACGCTATAGTCTGGAGGGTCGTCCAAAGATGTACTTGTCTGTGAAGTGCGTTGTTGTAGGTGTAGATGGTGGTTCCTCCCGAAGCAATCTGGTTCTCCGTGTGAACGTAATAATACGCAGTAAATCCTCTTAAGTCTATGGTTGAAGCCGGGGCGAACTTTGTGTCCTGGATGCAGGCCCCAAGTGGGCACCGTGTGGCCGGTAAGTGTTGAAATTCGGCAAAGGAAGGTCGGAGTCCGCCGACATTTCAAT